TCGTAAATCTAGGTAAAAGACTAACTAAAAAGTTAAAAAAAATAAAAGGTTCATAGTATGATTTAACGTACATACTGCATACAGTAGAGTATATACATAATAATAATTATTGTATCTTATATTCAAAATAAGTCAACCAATTATAGTAAATTCTAAAAAAAATTAGTAATCTGGAAATGTTCAATAAGCTTGTTGATTATTATTTAACCAGCTCAGAAGATCAACCATCAATTGGTCATAATTATTAGTGAATCAAATTCTCTAGAAAAAATAGTATTTTTATAGTGAGAGAGCGAGCAAGTAATAATTTTATATAGGGATGCGCGTTATTTAGGAACATGCATAGGCATTATTTTGAAACCATGTATATTATTTTAAGAGGGTGTGATTTTCTAATTAACACTCATGAGCGTTATTACGTGAAAATACGGTAAAAAAAAGCTCAAAAGTTTTGAAAATAAAAGAATACAACAAACTTTTAAAATTTTTTTTTAGTTAGAACTTCACTTTCTTTTGTTACTTTAATATTTCTAAAACTAATTTTTAATAAAAAAAGTAAAGAATTTAGGTACTATTAAAAGATTGATATTGTTATTACTTCTATATTTAGTAACTTTATAAGATAATTACAACACATAGCAATATAAGATTTTTTCTATTTAGAAATATTGCTCTATACTATCAAAGATTCAAATAGCTATATTTACACCTTTAATAAATAAATAAAATAGCAAGAATATATGAAGTTTATAATTCATTTTATTTTGAAATAGAATATGAATTTAATATTGGTATGATAAAGAAAATTTGATATATATAGTCTAATAACAAAAATATATATATCTAATTTTATGTCTAAGTATAGTATAGATCTAATAATAAAATTTCAACAACCTATTGGCTAGCTAATAGGTCTACTAAAGGTTATATATATTCTATAATATTTGTCTGATAGATACTATCTGATAGTTTACTGCAATTTGGTGCGTATCTGTAATCTATCGGCCTAGCACATATCAGCAAATTTCTGCAACCTATATATGAAATATCTACAAAAATATTGGCTAGCCTATATTGCAAATAGTTCTGTAAGTATTCATATGATATTTACAAGATTTTAGTATGATGGAAAGTCGTTTTGATTGGCTGATATAGTACAACTATAACATTGATCATTACACAATTATTTATATTAGTTTTAGAATATCCCTATATGAGAACGTAATCACTCATATGACAAGTCACTGTATATATTATCAATAATCGAATAACTTTCAGAATATATTGGTCTTTGGCCTTACTAGTAGCTGGCAAATTTAATCAGATATAATCAGATTCTCAGATAACTTACACTAATGCTGTATTTTGCTATTAGCCTAATAGTATATAGTTAAGTAGGCTCATGAAATACTTTTTTTCTTTAGAGTTTTTTTTAAAAAAATGTTACTTCAATAGCTAATCTGTTTTTAAAAACTTTGTAATCAAGATGTCTCAGGTGATTACAAGAGAGATCTGAACGATCTATAAATGTTCTGTATAAGCATAAGAGCTATTAAGTATGAAAAAAGCATTTAATAGTAATTAAGATTTACTTTCTGCAAATTATTATTATTTTTTTATAAGTATTACTTTAATAGCTAATATAGATTTAAATTTTTAATTGAGATAATGTAGTAGTTATTAAAAAAGATCTGAATGATATTTAATTAGTGAAAAATATTAATTTAACAGGAAGACATAGTTCTGCATAAAGCGTAAAAACTATCAAGTATGAAAAAAAAGTGATCGAATAGTAATTGAAATTGCTATGAGTTAGCTTTTGTAATTTTTTTTAAGTATTACTTTTAAAGTATTACTTTAAAATATTATTTTAACTAATATAAATTTAAAATTTGTAATTAAAATATATAGTAGATTCGAATAATCTTTAATAATTCTGGGTTAATATACTTAATATGATTATTTAGTATTAAGATAGTGTTCAACTATTATAGCATTATTATTAGATTATTCTTAAAAACTGGTCAACCATAAACTTAAAAATCAGATATTTATAGTTTTGGAATTATTGCGATATCTTTTGGGTTTTTAGTTATTCTATAAATCGCAATTACTGAATTGTCCCCATGCTTATATTCCTAATAAAATTTTAATAAGATTATTATACTTTAATAAAAACAAATTATAGTTTTGAAAACTTTGTTTTACATCTTAAAAATTTTCAAGACTTTAAACAAATATCTATTTTCCTTTTCTATCCTATTTATTTTTCTGAATTTAATGTTATAGATTAATATGAATAATATGATTAATAAATACTTCTAGATAATATCATTATCATGTAGAATTAGAGTGTATGCATAGTAGTCACAAGCATGCCTTAAAAACAAAATAGATATAAAGCATACCATATATCTATTATCAATATATGTATATATCTATTCTTAAAAAATTTTAGAATAGTAGATAGTCGACAAAAATAAAATATGAGAAGGTTGCAGAAAATTTTAGGATTTGTGAATTGTCTAAGGGTTTTGGATAGATTAATATGATGGCATGCTATTAGCATGCCAGAGTGGTATCCTGGTATAAAATTTGTCAGATGGTATGTTTTACAGCATGCTAGATTTTCTTGCCGTACTACACACCCTCGGTAGAATGTAGATAATATTGTGTCAGTATCATTTAATAATAGCCATTTGATTAACTCAGATCATGCTACGAAGTGATATAATCTGGGCCAACAAATAGTCATTAAATAACGCTATTCCAATATTACTTATATTCTACCTGATAACTATTAATTATTGGTAGATTTAGACCTAAATGTTTAGATTCAAGTTGTTATATTAAATTAGCTAAAAATATATAGATAAATATTTTAATATTTGTTAAAGACCAATTGTATAGATAATAATGTTGTGTAATTTGATTTTAGATATGCTAAATTAATTTATCTATATGTGTTATATTAAAATTAAAAAATAAAAATTTTGTATATTTGAATTCTTTAATTTTGTATTCTAATACTATTATTGCAGAGACTATCTTTGCTATATAGATTTTACAATTTGTAATATTTGGTATTTTATTATTTAATCTTGCAATAGTTGTGAGATATATAAAAAGAATATTATAAAAAATAATTATTTTAAATAAATAATTTATATTATAATAAAGTTAAAATAGCTTTAAAGTTTTGTATAAAATAAATAAATATTTTATAATATTTAGTTTAGTTGTAAAATTATATATATTATTGTCTAGAGTGAAGTGACAGATTTATACTTCTATGCTCTTTGATAACTGAAATTATATTTTTGCTATATTTATAGTAAAAATATTAAAAATACAGTTTTGGTATTTTCTGAATATAATACTTCTGAAAAATTTGATCTATAATATATATAACAGGACTTTTCAAGTGCAAAAATATTAAATTATGCTCCAGACTTATACTGGTTTTTAGTTTCTAGTAATATAGTATTTATTATATAAAATAAATTTATTTTAGTATTAGTAATATAGTTTATATATTGTATATAAATTTAAATAAAAATATTTTATTTATTAATATAGTAAATAAAGTTAAAAAACATAATATAATATCAAATATACAGTATATTTATAACAATTTTATATTAAAAAATAAATTACCAAGTGTTTATTTTACTAATTGCATTTTGTAAATCTAATTCGATTTTTTCTTTTTTATTAATTTCAATATTTTTTTTTTTTAAATATTAAGATGACCACTTGGGGGTCTGGCATGGTTTATTAACTTCTTAGTTCAATTATTGGGATGCTGAATAGGCACCTCTTGACTTTGTTATATCAACGAGAGTACAATTGGTCATACATACAACTTTAGTCATTGTCTAATTAAGGGCTCCACTATACAATCTATAGTTACCTACCAATTGCCATATCTAGGATCTGCTTGTGGATCCTCTATTTAAACCCTCTGATTGACTTAGCGCTGTCAGATGCTTTCCCAGAAGAATTCCTGCTGCTAAGGCCCTTTAAGACTATTTTATCCTCATGATAGACCTACCAGAGCGGTCCATGTCCTACATATGTATCACCTGGGTTTTTCAGTAACTTACACCCAATCTGAGAACTGGTACTTGACTATTATCTACTCCTTGCCCTTACAAGGTTTGTTCTGATCCCAATACCTACTTTCAACCGGTCTTTATACCGATCTCTCCTTAACTACCAAACCAGTTAACCTGGAAAGGTTGTTGTATCTAGGCTCTAAGTGCCTTCTGGTTTTACTTCTCTCGGTTCTGAATTCTGTAGCATTGGACCTTTTCCTCTGATACGATTCCAGCAGCCAGATTGGTAGACCCTTCTTGCTTCAGGGTTGTTCGTCTAGTTTTTCGGTCTCTAGTTCCGATTTTCTGTAGTATCATCGAAGATCTTCACTACTCCTAGCTCGGGTTTTGCCAAACGGATTTCAAATATTCCAGTTCTTTGGATTTAGATCAGTCTAAAGTTTCTATAATGAGATGGTAGTACCAAGATTACAGGTAATATATCTAACCGATCGTTAAATAAATGTTACCAGAACACAGGCCTATTTTTTAAAAAATATCTCCGGTAGGAATCAAACTCTAAACCTGCCGCTTGAGAGGTGACAACTTAACCACTACTCTATGTCGCCACACCCCTATTAATTTCAATATTTTCAGAATCTTCTATTGAATTATTTGTATCATCTTCTTTATTTTCATCTTCATCTTCATCTTCTAAATCTTCTTTAGTAAGTTTATTTTTATCTTCTGCTTCTAAATGTTTTACAAATGCATTTACATTATTCCATATTTCTTCTTTAAAATATCGTATACAATGCTTGCATTTAAATTCTATTTGATTATAACAATTCTAATGATATTCATGACCATATATCAAAATTGTTCTATCAGAATCTTGCTCAAATGATTTATAGCAATAATTACAGCTATTAAAAATAGGTAGATATGTAGTATGATATCCTGCTGGTAGTACTTTTTCATCTATATGATCTATAGTAATAAATTCAATATTTGAATCTTTTTTATCTTTTTTTGATTTTGGTTTTGGTTTTGTTATAGATAATGTAGCATTAGCTTTTAATTTTTTTTGATATTCTTCAAAAACTACTTGAAATTGTTGAAGTAAAAATAAACATATTTTGTTAGTTAAAAAATCTAATTCAGATGATGAATATAGATAATATTTAGTATTTGTAAATGCTTCTTTAAATGCAGAATATTTATTAATATCTAATAATAAATATAATTATTTAGTATTTATATATTTTAAAATTATTAATAATTATTAAATTTTAAAATACCTAATAAATATGCTTGTTTTTGAATATCATTTGCATTATCTTTGCATGTTGTTGATGCTCTAATTCTGTTATGAATATTTTTAATCCAATAATCATTAAAATTAACTAAAAAAAGTTTAATTGCTTCTTTCATAGGATGATTATTTTGTTCTCAATAAAATATATCTGATAAAAATGCTAATGGAGCTTTGTTGTAATTTTTACGTTTCTATCTTAAAGCAAAGGTTCAAATACGAAAAATTGTTTTAAGATATTCGTCAAATGATCCTGATCGAAATGATACAGCATATATATCAAGTACTGCTAGAATAATATTATCTAAAAGATCAATTATTGCTTGATATTCAGTAAATTTGTATAAAATTTCAAATTTTTCTATTATTAAATTTCTAATTTTAATTTATATACTATATACTAATTCTAAAATAAATTTATTCTCTATGGTCTTGGCTTTTTAGCAAATTTTTTACGTAATTTAAATATACTATGAAATAATTTTTTAAAGAAGCTATAATAAATTTTTATAACTTGCTCTCTGCTATTAAGACTAACATGTAATGGTGCAAGAATAGAAACAAATGAAATTACTTCAGATAAAATTTGTGATTTTGAATTATTTTTATACAATTGAGTAATAGCTCTTCTAATAAATAATTGTCCTGGCCAATCTGCAATTACTGGAACAATATAATTATTTAAATGATTTGTTGTTTCATTATATTTAAGTATTATATTTAAAATTTCTAAATAATCTTGCATAGAATGAAGAAGCTGTTCCTTAATTTCAATTAATATTATTTCTTTTATTTTTCATTTTTTTTTCTTTTTGCAATAGCATCATCATAATAATGTACAGTAAGTTGATCAATACGATCAAATTTAAAACTTTCAGATTGCTTTGTACTAGCCCATTGAATTTTATGTTGTGTATAAGAAATATCAAAAAGCCCTTGATACTTATTAATAAGTTGCTTACAAATAATTGATGCATCAATATTTACTGAATTATGAACTGATATGCTATTAAAAATTACTGGTACTGGTTCACATTGCTAAATTTTTTTGCACATACTTGTTGCTAAATGAGCTACTCCTGATAAATTAGTATTATCTGGTCTTCTTTTTTCATGAATATTATAATAATCATCTATATTATATATACAAAGTAAATCTTTCTAATAAATAAATTCAAATAATAAATTAAAATATTGTTTAAA